TGAACTAAACAAAAGAAATGTATAAAAACTATAACAATGAAGATCCATAAATGCAATTATAGAGAAAATAAAAAAAGGCTCACTTAAAAATGTAACAGGGAGGTAAAAAAAATGGTAAGATGAAGCATATACCTCTAGAGCAAATAAAGAATATTAATGCCCCTCTCATTTTGCACAAGCCTAAAGCCTAATGCACCACATTCATTTTGGGTTTTCCAAGTTCATCAACTAGATATTCATTCCCAGCTTGTATCTCAATTTGAGCCATACAAAAATTTTTCAGAAGCTCAATCTCAACAACAAAGATGAACCTCTTCCTGCTCAACACCAAGCTTCTTTGTTTAAAGACCTATAAAATCAAAGATTTGGACTTTACATATGTCAACCGTGCACAGCCATCAAATAAGTAATGAAGTCAGACAAATAAGCTGAAAATCAAGGTACATAATGCATTTATACAATATATTGAAAAAGGTGGAGGGGCATGATGAACAGTGAAATCCAAAGAGGTCAATTTTTGCAGTACGATAGGCAAAGAGAGAAATAAGGATTAGCTCTTTATGCTTGGAGAAAATATTTGAGCTTTCTTTGGGTTTGATTGCTTTCTTTATTTGGCCTCTAGCAACCTTCGTTTGATTTGCTTTCTTTATTCTGGCCTCTTAAGCAACCTTGTTCATTCACACTTGAGCACTGGAATTTGGGAGGACATTATTGCCAAACAGAGAATACTAGGGAACCTCCCATGTTGATACATAAAGTTCCACAAACTTGATAAAAAATCGACAAGAAGCCCTAATATATACAGGACCCACATTTTTAATCATGTCACTTTTGAAAAGGAAACAGTTTCCAAAAACGAGTTAGAAAAATTAGACACCACTCAGTTTAATTCAACTACAACCTGAGGCAACGTTAATTACTATGATTGTGAGTGGGGTGAACTGTGATCATTTAAATTCTTAATGGTTCCGATTCTTAATTACAAGAGCTATGTAATTAACAACCTATAGATTGACAAAAAAAAGTAAACACATGTAGGAACTTTCATAGTTTAATTCCGCTGCAATCTTTTATAATAGAGCCCAAAAGGTTCATAGTGATCCAATTCAAATGTTTAGTGAAATCACTCTGCCTTCATTATACAAAAAGTCATTAAAAAGCTTCCACGTTTAAAAAACATTTTGACTTATGCACAAACAAAAAGGCTCTCATAATCTATTACCATCTGGAAGGAAAACCAACGTCAAGTGTTGCCTTGTCCAAATTCACTTCTGGGGAAGTGTTCAATTTATCAAAAAATGAAACAGTAAGCAGTTGGTGTTCAACCATCCCTTAAAAAGCTGTAACCATGTTGCGGCATAAAAGAAACCATATATCAAAAACAATTTTTCCCCATACTCTTTATTTGAATCCAAATTGGCTTATATATCTCGATTTCATTCCGTAACTCCAATTTCTTTGTTTTTCACCAGAATTTTGCTCAATTTCTTGTTTTCACAGAATTTTGTCAAACTGATTTCAACTTCCAATTGGACCATTTGAAGCAAAATTCCAACGTAATGATATCAACATCTTGCCTCCTGGTTCACATGATACCAATTATCAGTTATCAGCATATCAATTCACGATTTCAATTTCATTGGCTCATCATTTCTGCATCCTCAAATTCAGAATCAGAATGTTCCAAGTCCTGAAATTCATTATCAAAAGTGCCATTTGACTTCGCTTCCTCTTCTTTCTGACTTTTACCTCTCACTATTCTTTCCTTCCCTTCATTGATTGATGAGGCAACCTGCCTTTTCGACCAAGAACCTAAAGCTCCACTGATTGATTTACTTGGCCTTTTGTTAGCTTTTTCATAAGATGAATATACCTAAATCTCATTCCCATCAAAGGATGCTTCACCACTAAAAAATCCTTCCTGTATGACTCTCTAAGCACCACAGTCTGTGTTCTAATCTTATTCGAAACATAAAATATCCCCGGATGATGTACCAAAGCCTTCTTAAATCTATGTCCAAACCCCAAATAGTCTCCCAAAACAAGCAAATTCTCCTTCTCTGTCTTCTTTGACACTAGCAACCACAACAACTCATGTAACACAGCAACAACCCACTTCTCTGCTTGATCCCCCCCAAAACAAGCAAATTCTCCTTCTCTGTCTTCTTTGACACTAGCAACCACAACAACTCATGTAACACAGCAACAACCCACTTCTCTGCTTGATCCCCATTTGGGTTTAAATGGAAGGCATTTTCATAAGGTGATATATATGGCAAACCTTGCCAATCAAAAACCCAATCTTTCACTTTATTCTTCAAATCAAACCCGTTAGGATAACTCAAAGGAAACCCAATGCGCTCACCTTTCTTGATATTTTTCATATCCCCATGTGCCACTCTTTTCTCCATTTCAGAGACAGATAATTCATCCCTCCAAGAAACCAACTCTAGGTGAAGCAATTTTTTATCACTAAAACAATCTTGAACTTCACAAACATGAAAATATTCGGGATAATCAGATAAAAGGGAAGTAATATAGCTATGAGGCAAACCCAAATCCAACTTAAATCTGTCGATGACATGCAAAGGCAATCTAGTTATTCTAGTAAGCATTAAAAGCTTAGCTAACCTTTTAACAGCATCATCTCTATATGTCAAAGAATTATGAATAACTTGTTCTTCTTTGTGGATTGAGAGAGCAAAAGGAGTGAGCTTGACATGGACAGGGAGAGAAGGAGAGGGCTGGAATTGAATAAACAGAGATGGATACTTCTGCAAAAATTTGAGAGCTGTCGTTGGGAGATTGAAGTGGGGTTTTAGAAGAGAGAGAGAGGAAAGGGGGAGAGATTTGGAGGGAGAAAAGAGGATTTGATTCTTGATAGAAATGGCTTGTTTAAGGTCTTTTTCTTCAGAGACTGCTGCGTCTAGATATGCATCACGAACCCATTTGATCTTGGCGGCTATGAACGTTCGGTAGTGGTGGAATTGGTGTGTGAATTTGGTGGTGCAGAGATGCATATGAGTCGTTTGTTGCTAGAAGTTGATTGTGCGCTACAGTCGGCAGTGGAGAAATTGATTCCGTGTGTGAATTTGGTGGTGCAGAGATGCATATGAGTCGTTTGTTGCTAGAAGTTGATTGTGCGCTACAGTCGGCAGTGGAGAAATTGATTCCCGTTAAAATTGGCTCTGGTTTACGACACAAGCTTTACTGCCGTTTGTGGCGCCGGTAGTGGTCGTTTCAAATTTCAAAGGTTTTTGAATGTGAAAGACACTTAATGGCAAAACTGACAGATTAGGCACATTGGACTGTCGTTTAATATTTTTCTATAAACAGCTATCGTCTCAACTGGTTATTCAACCGCATTTCAAGTTTCAACATTACAATTTCCTTCACAATGAAGAATTAACTTTCTCACAGAAACGTGCTAAACTGGTCAAATACGACAAAACCGTTCTGGGGAACCCAACCAGCCAATCGATTCGCTGTCTCTTCACCATCACCCAACCCCACATGCTGCCCAATGCCCATTCTCTCCTCAAAAACTCCCTCTAAAAAATTTGCTTTCTTGATAAATTTTCAAATTCACTTGGCCGATGGACAACAACACATTAGAAGTCTCCACTTGGCCGAATAAAGACAACAAACCAAACATTAGAAGTCGTCACCTTACGCTCTACTTTTTCAAAGCTCTTTCCTTTATTTCCAATTTCATCACTACTCTATTATACCTTTATTTGACCACTTCTTCTTTTTCCTTCTACAACTTCCTTGAGATTCATTTTCTTTGACCTATTTGCTCCCACCCTGGGTTAGAGGCGATTTCCTGTGCTCTTCACATGCAATTTATTTCCTCTGAGGCTCTACCAATCTGATTTCGCCTACCAAGTGTTCCGATTATTCATGGAAGGTGAAGTCTCCATCGTCAAAATTCTTAGATAAACTTTTTTTGTTTATCATCTTTTTCCTGATTTTCAAAATGCTTTCTTGCCTTCGGTCTACTGTTAACTATTGCAAACTCAAAGTTTTGCATATTGCAACTCAAAGTTTTGCATTTTTTTTAAAAGGTTTTCTCCAACGCCGTGGCTATGTAGTCCTCATCTCCAAACAGCTTTCCTGAGTCTTTTTGGGAATTCTCCTAATTTTGCCTATACAAGGTTAGTACTTGGTAGCAGTGACTTTTTTTCCCTCACATATTTCAAGTTTTATTTTATTTCTTGTGTATATTTTAATATGTATATTTTCAGACATATTTTCAAGGCTAAAGATGGAGGAACACTTGCTTTGGACTGGCTAATGTGCTCTGATGGTTAGTTTCAGTTGTAACCCCTTATTCTAGGCCTTGCTTTCAATAAAGTTGATGCCATTTACCCTTTAGCTATTAGCCTTTCACTTACATCTCTATCTTTTTCATTTCATATCATATGCTTGCATTTTTAGGAGGATTATGGTTGGAAAATAATTAAGCATAGAGGGTATGGTCTAGCTTCAGATAAAAATTAAAGCATAGAGGGTATGGTCTTAGCTTCAGATAATAAATAGGTCACATATTTTCTAATGCTAGATGTCATTTTAAAAAACAGCTTCACTTTTCTTCTTGGATTTGAAAATATTACAACAGAAATTTATCTCAAAGAATGTAATGACTTTATGAGTTACATACAAAATTTAAGTAATTATGGCTCTGGTTTTTACAACTATGATTTGCAGGCTTGAAGGGTGTTTTCGATTAAAAATGATGTCCATTCTTCAAGATGATAGAACAACTCAATTTTTCAACTAGTGATTTCCTGAGCTTCATACTAGCGACTCTGCTTTCTGCTGTGAGTTCCCTTCCATTTTCTGGTCATCTTTATGCAATGTGTTCCCAATATTATTATCCATTATTATTTATATATTATTATTTATTATTATTTATGCACGCAGTTTCAACTGATAAAACAAACCACTTCGTGTTCATTATTCCCTTATTTCTTGACTTATTATTATTATTATTATTTATGCACGCAGATTTCAACTGATAAAACCAAACTTCGTGTTCATTTCCCTTATCTCTTGACATAAAACCTTTATAACTTGTTAACATGCTCATTCTTTGGTGATATTTTCTCTTTCTTTGTTAACTTCATCTTCCTCTACTTTTAATATCCAAGAAAAATGTACTGTATAACAGTATATAAAGCATCTTGCTTTCACAATGGCAAGGCAGGGTTGGAATGTTGTCGTGAGCAATCATCGGGGACTGGGAGGCATATCAATTACTGTGAGTATTATATATTTGCTTACAAGTTTTTGATTTCTTATTAAGTAATGCTTTCCTTTTCAATCTCCATGGAGGACTGGTCTCTAGTCTCTATCTCTCTGTTCCTCATATGTATTTCTCATACAGATTCACATTGATTGAAAGGACATCATACTTTATGATCAGTAATGGCTTTTCATTGGATGCTGTTTGAATTTGTTCGTTTAAAAGCATACTTGACTCATAAATTGCCCTTACTGAATTTCTCTGTTGCGAGGTGATTCTGTGCATGATTATTTTGTTAGGTTATGAAGTTATTCATGAGGGTCTTATCATAATTCTGAGCATATTCATCATTACATATAGTGATAAGTTGTCCAACATTTTAAGTAACTTGAACATATTTTTAATTTCAAATTATCATTCATTGTCTGTGTGGTTATACATCCATGTTTGTCTGGATGTTGAGTGGTGTTAATTGTTGACTAATAAGTTGTCTTGTTGTAAATATTTATGTCAGTCTGATTGCTTCTATAATGCTGGATGGACAGAGGATATTCGGAGTATCATCGATCATATCCACTGTCAATATCCTGAAGCTCCTCTATATGCTTCTATAATGCTGGATGGACAGAGGATATTCGGAGTATCATCGATCATATCCACTGTCAATATCCTGAAGCTCCTCTATATGCTGTTGGAACTAGCATTGGTGCCAATATTCTGGTAAGCAAATTACCTGATCTTCCCCCTCCCTATTCAAATTTAGTCGTGTAATTTTGAGTATGGAGGCATCAAAGTTTCATTATGTATTTGTGTTAATGGACAAATTTTGTTGATGAATTAACTTACCAGTGAGATTGTTATATATTCCATTTCTAAAATTCAGAAAGGTCATAGTGCTTGAATGTATAATGCATTTTTGGACTGTTCTAAATGGTGAAGCTGAAAGCAAACTAAACATTTCATGGATGGACTTATTTAGAACTTATATTTATTAAATCTCTTAGAAATAGACACCAAAAGAAACTTTTTATTTCATTGTAAATTTGTAATGCTTTTTTACCCAGGTGAATACGTGGCATAAGGTGGCATCCACCTGATTTACACTGTTGTTTTTTCTTCCCTTGATTTACTTCTTTTCCTCCTAATTACAGCTATTTACTTGAGACTTGAGTGGGTATGAGGGCAGAATTTTTAACCAAATATAGTGAACTAAAAAAAATGCCAGAAACCAGATTTCTGTCTTACTTTCTCAAACTTTTCTCAATTGACAGGGTAAGTTAAAGTGATATGTCAACTCACCCATTCATTTCTTAAAGTTGAAGAACAGCTACTTTGTCTTACTTTCTCAATGACAGTAAGTTAAAAAATAGGTAATTCCCGTCATTTCTTAAAGTTGAAGAACAGATTGATATAATGTCACTGCTCTGATTGGATTGAAAAGGGAAAACTGGACATCGGCCTCCTCATCCTTCTATATAAGTGACTATTATAGTTTTATGTATAATGGTGGAGTACTTCTTGCAGGTTAAATATCTTGGCGAGCATGGGGTTAACATTCCTCTTACTGGCGCTGCTGCTATTTGCTCTCCATGGGACCTTTTGGTTAGTACATTCATACGTGTAATGTTGTCAAATGCCAAATCCCTTTGAATAGGGCTATGTATCACAAAATTTCTTATGCTTTTTGCATTTACGTACTGAATTAGTTTGTGCGATGATATTGGTGCTTTGATATGCACCTCTTAGTTCTTTTAACTTCTTAAGGGTTCAAATCTCATCTATAGAATATGCACCTCTTAGTTCTTTTAACTTCTTAAGGGTTCAAATCTCATCTATAGATATGATAAACTCTTTTTATCTCCTTAAAAAAAAAAAAAAACAAATTGAAGTTATATGATTGAAAGTGTGATGACGTAGTTGGCTTCCAAATTTCCAATATCCATTTCAGGCAATTGTTAACGTGGATGATAAAGGCTAGTGTTTCATGCAAAGAAAGAAACCTTCTCTCTTTATTTACATTGGTCTCTTACAAATATATGTGTTATCATGAGCGGGGGGGGTGCGGACACACTGCAGCGATTTTTGAAAAAAGTTTAGTTCAGATTATAATTTGGCGATGAATGAATTCAGCATCAATGCCAGCATTTTGCTTCCTTATTGAAACATGATCAATATTCCAGTTGTTTTTTTGTGGTATCAAAAGACAAGGATGCTCCTCTTGATCATTTACAAAGAAAAGCAATAAAGTTCATATAGAATACACAAAAGCGCGCCAATCAAATATCCATTGTTTTTTTGGGTATCAAAGACAAGATGTCCTTTGATCATTTACAAAGAAAAGAATAAAGTTATAGAATAAAAAGCCAATAAAATATCAATATTTGTGTTTTTATGTTATAAATAATAAAACCTTTCCTGGATATATGCTCCAGGCAAGGTACCTGAACCTGCCATTAACTGCTTTTCCTATTGGACATTCAATAATTTTAATGTTTATGAGATTAATGTGCTAAAGTGAATATCATATTGATTGCTTTACAGATATGTGACAGGTTCATCAACCGCAGGCTTGTGCAGAAATTATATGATAGAGTGCTAAGTGTGGGTCTAAAGGCATATGCACAGTTGTAAGTCTACATTTCTTCTTCCTCTATGTTTCTTGACTCGAATCTCTTATTATTGCTGCTGTATACAATATATAATGATTAAATAAAAAATGTAAAAGATTTCTTATAGACTACGATTTTGCTTTTCTTTTTCTTTTAATTTACATTCAGTCTATACTTTCCTACAGGCATCAATCTGTCTTGACTCGTCTAGTAGATTGGAATGGCATTGAGCTGGTATTTTGCATTTGTTTCTTAAACTCTAGTTATTGTGTTACACACAGCTGAATATTCACTCAGTTCGTCTGTTTTCCAAAAACAGCAGCTGAATATTCACTCAGTTCGTCTGTTTTTCAAAAACAGCAAACTGTCATGGCAATTAAATAACCTTATGGTACAATTTGAGAAATGACCTTTTCATGGCAATTAAATAAATGTTACAATTTGAGAAATGACCTTTTGGATTTGATCTAATCATTTTTATCCTTTTACAATATTAACAGTAATTATACATCCAAGTAAAATGTTAACATATACAGCAATAACAGTTAGTATACATCTAAATTGAAAACTGTCTTATCCCAGATATTGTGTGCAATTGGCAACTAATTGTGATGGTCACAAGTTATTTGATCTTGTAAATGGAAGTGTTTGTTTTCCTATTTCCTTCAAATCAAATGTGGCTTGTAGGTTGTAAACGTTCTCTGTAGGATTTGATTGATCAGAGATTCCAGAGGACATATTTACCACTAAATGGCCTCATGGTCTCATTAGAAATTGATCAATTAGTGGAACAGAGATTCCAGAGGACATATTTACCACTAAATGGCCTCATGGTCTCATTAGAAATTGATCAATTAGTGGAAAATAAGTGTAAGATAGTAGCCTATAGGCAGTATTATGTCTGAAGAAAGCCCACAAAAACAACATATATAAAATTTATTTATTCCACAGCCCAATTGTATGTATACATGACATGTAGTCTCCACATTATAAACGAAGTCCATCATGTACATACTTTTTAACATTCATCTATTTGCTCATGTAAATATAAAAATAATCATTGAGGGCTTCCATGGACCAAGTAAATGGTCTACTTCTATTCTGAATGTTCCTCGACTACATGTGATTTTACCCTTTGACAGTCATGTTCAGTTAGAGACTTCGACAGACATGCAACTCGAGTTCTTGCAAAGTTTGAGGTAAAAGCCATTTTTCTCATTCCCCGAATCAAAGATGGTTGCTTTTCTATATCCCCTGATTGACTAAAGGATTCTGCTGTTTCTCAGACTGTAGATGCATATTACAGGCGTTCTAGTTGTGTGAATTTTATAGGAAACGTATCCTTGCCTCTCCTGTGTGTGAGCGCACTGGATGATCCAGTTTGTACAAGGGAAGCCATCCCATGGGATGAATGTAGGTAAGGAGTAAGAATCCTCTATTTGTGGCATTACTTGAAGGAAACTTGTAAACTTGTTTGGTAGTGTTAAAAGTATGCACTAGGCCTAGCATGAGCTGTTAGGCATTAAGTTTTAGCTTTGGCAGCAATGGCTTCTTAATCCTTGGGTGAAATGCACCAAGGCATGAATGCGTTGTTCGTGAACCATAGTTGTGAAGGACAAAAAGACATGCCCAGGAACCTTCTTTCCTAAACTTTTCCTCTATATGGTTACTTGGATTCAGCTACAACTATGGGCATGAATATATGTTCAGGAGTCACGCACTACATTTGACGATTCTCCCACTAATTTGAAGTTCCAAAGTGTCATTTCCATGTCTGAATATCCCTATGTATAAGCTATAATGAAACCATTGAAGCGACTGTATTTCTAACCTTAAATAAGAAGTTTCAACATGTCAAAAAATTTGCTCCTTGGTCCAAGTTTTGGCCACCTGACATTATGATGTCGCACCTACTGAGTATTGACCTACACTAGTGCCATCAATCAGACTTGAAGGATGATCTATTTTTAAACTTTTTGTATACTTGCTGTCAAAACTCTTGGATGTACAAAACGATGTTGATGAGCAAAATGGAACATGAGCAAAATGGAACATTAGTATAGCAGATACATTTCGACATCCCAATGGTGAGGCTTGCTTAAATATGTTAAAAAATTTGAACAATACTAGGACGATGTCATGCGAAATCAAAGACATCCATATTTTTGTTACTTTACATAGTTTGGTAGTCACTACATTATTTTTGCAAAGTTGATACTAGTTTTATGTGAAACTGATACATTTGATTCATTTTAGGGCGAATGAGAACATTATCCTGGCTACCACAAAACATGGAGGACACCTGGCTTATGGAGGACACCTGGCCCTTATTACGAGGGTATAACTGCAAATAGCTTGTGGTAATTTACAGCTTCTCTCTCTTTCTCGTGTTTTTGCTTCAGGCACAATCCTGTATTCTGCAACATTGTGAGGGACGGCGAATTCCACTAGCTTCCTTTTATATTCACCATTTTCCTGCATCATAATAGTTTAATACAAATTCTTCTTCCATCTAACAAAGAAAAAGTTAAATATAAGAGAAGAACCCATTACCTGGAGAAATCCCATTGTGTGCCTGTTTCTTGATCTTACTAGAGGTGTCAATCTTAGGACTGTGTGGATGTTTTCACGAGGAATCTTTGGCAATTTGGCGCAATTTGGCCTAATTATTCGATTGTTTCAAAGGAAGTTTAGTATTTTTTGTGTGGCTTTGTTTAATTTGAGATATATTGGTAAATTATCCCAGAAAAATGATAAAACCAATGGGATAGATAAAAATTAAGAAGCAAATTTCCATGAATTAAGACCTGTCATATTTACCTAGGACCAAGGTATAGCATGCATGTGCAAATGTATTTCAACATGTGTTATTGGCATGTTGCGCTAGAGACTATTCGTGAGTTTATGTAACTGCGCGGTCATGGTATGATATATGATTCTTTGGATTGTGAAAAACAATTACTGTAGGATATGCATGGGAGTCATGGTGTAATATATTTCTTCATTCACTTGCAGGTGCGTGAGAGCCGTTAATGAATTCTTTCATGTCTTGCACTCTAGCCCATTGAGAAACAGAAAAGAGAAGGTACAAAATAGTTTACTAACAGCTTAGAGCTAATATACTAAATAAAAATAGCAGAAGAATACCTGATGAGAATACATGACATGCCTCATATTGCAGTTTTCATATTTTATCTTACGATTTGAACCAAAAACCTGGCACTAGGTTTACCTCCTGAGCTTGACAGAGGCTGAAGTTGCATTAAGGATTTTGTTGAAGCCTAATATTTTATCCGGCTGAATTAATGAAAAGTTGAAACTCTTCCTGAGAAAAGAGCGTGTATATAGTTGCATAAAAGAATCAGGAGCTTGATATTTTAGATCTTTTTTTTTTCTTGGAAAGTTGCATTCAAGGCTGGAAAGTTGCATTCAAGATCAAAATGTGAAACTTTATTGAACTAAAATGGGAATGGAATTGGCTAGTCCCAGTTGGCTGCAAGTTTAATATTTTTGCTTTGTATTGTCTTGCAGGTGGAAGAGTGTAGCTCGACTTCCATGCCGCAATCTTCAATTGATCAGGGACCATTCTTGAATGTTATGGAAGGTGGAATGGTGACTGCAATGGGCAACATCACAGACAGTGTAGCAGAAGAAACGTGCAATGGAGATGGGGATCATGTTAAGAAGGGAGAAGAAACCATTTCTGACAGAGAGAGGAGTGATAATATGACAGATAAAATACCTCCTATAATTAATGACAATCAACAATCAGATCAAAATCTCAATGATCTAATAGTTCCTATGAGAAGATAAATGGGTCAGCTCTCGAAGCGAAGTGGGATTTCAATCTGGCTGCTTGTTGCTTGTATACATTGCAATTGTAACAACTTGGCCGCTGGCAGGCTCAGCTCTTCTTTTGTTCATCAAGAAAAGGTTCAAAAGCATAATTCCAGCAGCATTGCTTAGAAGATAACACACTATCACAATTATGTACTAGATATATTATAGCCTGATAATTGACAATTGGGTCTAAATATTGATTTATAAGATGTACTATCTTCTTCAGGATAATAAAGATGCTAATTGCATCTCATAACAAATCGATAGGAACTTCTTGCCTAATATTAGGAAAACATTTTCCTTAGCAAAAGTTATTTTTTGGGAATAAACGGAGCTTTTTGATAATGTAGAATCTAGATATATAATTAACCAAAAATAAGAATCTCAAATTTTTACAATTAAACTAATACAATTACATGTCATTTAAAAATCTTTTCATCATAAATGTATTGTATCTGCTGCTACTGACTTGACGCAAGCTTTCTAGTCAAGACGGGTGATTAAGGTTGGAAGTTAACAATTATATAAATGATAGACGTTATCTGAGTTCTTATTGTAAAATTTTATATATATTAAACACTTTCAATTTGTGAAATTACTTTTATTAAGCAATTCAACCTATAAAATTTTTATTAAATATTTATCAAATAATTAAAAAAATAAAACAAAAAGATGCATAAAATATTACTTGTCAAATATTCATTCACTTGAATTGGTAAAAAATGATTTTTTTTTTTTTTTAACTTTTGAGCTTGATATGGATCGATTCCTTATACGTTTCCTTATACGTCGATCTCTTGTTTTGATGCAAGTGTTATTCATTTATGATTTGTTCTTTTATCCTTTTTATTACCTTAAAAGCTAAGAAGCATTAGGTTCTGACAATTTATTTAGAAAAAGATGATATATTACATTGAGTATGGTTTGGTTTTCTCTTTGTGAAAGAAGGAAACAAAACCATATGAAAAAAAAAAAAAAAAAAGATAAAGAAAAAAAGAAATGAGTAATTGAATGTGTGTCAATGTTATTTCGGTCTCATTATAACCATATTTAAAGATCTTTTGATTTATATATAACCATATTTAAAGATCTTTTGATTTATATTATATATATAATACTAGTCATGTACCCTTATGCACGAACTATATAATTTTTTTAATTAAATTGAATGTAATTTTTAAGAAAATTATTGTAATTTATATTTGCGATGCTTTAATGTAAATAATTTGATTATGTATTTTTGTTTAAAAATAAAAAGTAAAATTATAAGTTCTTTTTGAAATTCTCAAGTAATGAATTAAAATATTAATTAGCACAATTAATTATTGGGAGTAAATTATTGTATTCAACTTATATAGTTAATTAATTTTTTTCTGCTCTTTAAAATTCTCATATGTTCAAATTATATGAGGTATTATAAGAATATTTAATTTTAACGAAATAAATTTTAATGAATTGAAATCAATATTTTATTTTTATTTTTTAATGTACCTACATTATTCAATTAATTTTTATCAAATATGACTTTATTATAACTCCATTAGTTTTATTTGACAGAAAAAATTATCTTATAAAAAATTTAATAGTTATTAAATGTAAAAAACTATTAATTATAATAAAATCATTCATTAAATTTATTAGTTAGTTATTAGTTTGTAACTCCATTATAATAAAAAAAATTTTAATGTTATTTAATTATAATGAAAAAAATAAAGTGGACACATCATTGCTATATTATAATGAAAAAATAAAATGACACATCATTGCTATATAAGTATTCATATCTTAAAAAATTATATATTTATATAGATAGATAGTATAGAATCCATACAATTATAGATGCAATGAATCACCTTCAAAATAAAAAATAAAAAAAATTAAAATTTTTAATAAAGTTTAGCCGTTTAGATGTCAATTCATCCCCAGAGAAAAATGCTAGGGACATTTCCACTGACTAACCCAACAATTAATATCACTGTGAAATGGCATTAAGGATCTATTAGGGTCTTTTTCAATTTTCTAGATTTGCATGTTTATAGGTTGCAATCGTATCTATTAAGGTTTGAGACAAACAAATCTCATTTATATCATTTTTATATATTGGTCTTTCGTAATTTTCTTTGACATGATGTTCGTTTAAAGATTTCACAACTATGGATTTTTATTACCAAGTTAATTGATATAATATTGATCGGAATATTTATAACCTTTTTGTCAAAAATATTATCGAGACCTTTCACTCTCCACATTTTCTATATTTTGTAAAAAGATGGATCAAATTACAACTGAATGATATTAAATTTTAATGTTTGATTAGTACGTTAATTGTCAGAAAAAATAAAATTTTTAATATTTATATCTAATTTTTACTTTTTCACATTCATGACAGTATTTTCTTGTCTCAAAAGTTGAAAAAATTATATTTCTATAGAAAATAAGAGATTTTAAAATTATATAACAATATTTATTTGTTTCAAAATATAATTCGTTTTTGTGTGATTATTTTATTCCAAATTATAAATCATTTTGAGTAATTTAAGGAGTAATAAATGATGTTTTTGCAATGTTACCTTTATAGAATAACTACTTTCACAAGAGTAACTATTTGACCAAATTATCATTGATTTTGTTATATTAGGAACATTAATTATTTATCCTTGTAAAAAAATTTAAATATCTTTTATTTTGGGACAGAGGAAATAATATTAATTGTCATAATTATGCTATTTTCTTAGAAAATTTTTATGATTATCTTACTATAATTAGACTTTTTTATAATAATTTCTTGGAATTCTATTTTCTTGGAAAATATTTTTCCATAAAAAATGAATTTCGGTGAATAAATTCATCTTACCTCATAATAGTTGAAATATTCAATTTTATTTAATTTATTAGATTTCAAAAAAAAAATTTCAAAAAAAAAAAAAAAAAAACTAAATCAAACTAAAAAAAAAAACTAAATCAAACTATTAGGATAAACTTGCAAATTTTACAGTACGAAGGATCTTACATGCATGAGTTCGAGCCCACGAGATTATCAAATCTATATTGGTTGGCCTTTTTGCCTATTGTAATATAAGTTAAAATTTGGGGTTGGGACAAATTGGGCTGAGCTAAACTCTCATGCAGGCTCAAGTGCCTATCTTGGATCCAAAAATAATCGTATCGTGCTATTGCTATCAATCCGTTACTTAACAGTCAATTATACTCATTGTCGAGAGGTATAATTCTTCTTAAGCGTAAAGGTTTTTTATACTCTCATTAAAGTGTAAAATACGCTTTTCGAAAATCGAACTTATATTTTCACTTTTCTGAAAATTGAAGTCGCTTACCACTTCAAGAAACACATTGTTGATGGTATTTATTTAATAAATCTAATAACGAACAATTAATGAAAAAAAGATTACAAATGTCTTCTTACTAAAAAATAAAATAGCAATAAGAAAAAAAGATTAGTATTTTCTCATAAATTTGAGGAGAATAAATTCCGATTCTTTTCGATCACAAAAGTCTTTGCTAATTATTATGAAATTGTAAAGATATTTATATCATGACTCAGAATGGAGCAAAATTTGTATCATATATATAACTAAATAGTAGGCCAAAATAGTAAATATAACATTGTAAAGATAGGTCAATCTGGTTGAAAAGAAATGACGAAAGGAACAATTAAACATATATATATAGAGAAAGGGACGTGGCCACGTGGGAGAGTCACATGCAAATGTCCAATTTAGTCAAAGTCTATATATTTTTGGTTACAAAATTATCTCTTTGTTAAAGGCCAAAAAAGAGTATTTGGTAGACCCATTTTTTATCGTCTTCCCAACTTCTTTGTAATTTATTATTTTGTTTTCATTAAAATTATAAGCATTTTTAGGGTTTCTTAATATTATAAGCATTTTTAGGGTTTCTTAGAGGGAAAAAAAAAAATGCAATGTTTATAGAGAAGAAATATAACTGCCCAAAATAACAATAAAAAAACATGTAGCATATAATAAAGAGGAGAGAGAGAGATGAGACGAAGAAAGACGTTAGAGAGAGAGATGAGAGGAAGAAGACGTAGCTCTAAGATGAGATTTTTGGGGCATTCAAGAAAATAAGTAAAGAGAAATTATTTTCTTGGTCAAAGAAAAATCAAATCATTTTGAAGAAAAATGACTTCTCATTTTTAAGACTCTAAAATATTTTTCTGACATTAATAAACTTATTATAACTTTATAATTTTTAATTTATTAACCATCAGTATCTATTACTATCACTTACCATTCACCATCAGCGGATATCATCGTTCACTATCATCGGTCATTGACATATTTCATAATTTACTTTTTTTTGTATTCTTCTCATATTTAACAATAAAATTTTTAAAATACGAAATTTCTATTACTATTATTAATATTTTTATGGTCTTATGAGTTAAAATTTCTTATGAGTTAAATTTTAATATTTTTAACTTATTTTTAATATTACAACTAAAAAACGAAAAAAAATCATTTGGAAAGTATTTTTCAAGGAAAAACATCATGTCTTCTGAAAATAAATGTAACCTAAGTCGTTATGTCTTTTCTTCCTCCTTCCATATATAAGTATAAAATATTTCCTTAATTTCTTTTTTGACTATTGCATTAATGGGGTTCATATTGTGTCTTTCTTCCCCCCTTTTCCTCCCACCTTCCATGCATAAGAATAAGATATTTCCTTCAATTTTCTTTTTTGACTATTGCAATAATGGTGTTCATATTGTATCTTTCTTCCCCCTTTTCCTCCCTCTTTTCATGTATAAATACATACAAAATATTCTCAATAATTTTCTTTTTTGCCTATTAAAATTATGGGACCGAGGAATATATATATTAATTATTAATTTGTTAAAGTAAATTTATATAATAAGTTATCTATCATACAATATATCATTTCAAATGATAGTTTTAATGTGGATAATTGGCAGTGATTACATTTTGATTATCTAAATATTAATGGCATTAATAGTGGATTTTTTGATTTTTGAGTAACTAAATTAATTAATTAATAATATAGTATTTTTTATGCTTGAAATATTTCTTGAAATTTTCGAATTATGACCAAGAGTTACGTAATTATCTAATTATAATTTAAAAAAAATATTAAATTACCATTGTGAGGTCAATTTTCCTCGGTATTTATACTATGATTTTTATACTCATCAGCAATTGGATTCAATTGAAATAGGTTTTACAAGTGAGCAATAAACTGTAATTATACAAATCAAGTGTATTCA